GTGTGCACTTTGCGGTTTAGCTGCGGCCACGACGCACGTAGCAGCTTTCGTTGTGGTCGTGTTGATAAGCGCATTTTACTTCAATCAAGTTAATTAGCGACTTGTGGTTTTGCTTTGCTTTGCCTGGCATTGCTTTTGTTTTATTTACATTTAACGCGTTTAATTAGCTTTATGTTTGTCATATTCAAACACACACATACATACGAGTATGTACACATATATGTATGTGAATATGTACTCACTCTGTATACATAATAATAGTAGGGCAGTATTTTGTTGATATTGAACTGTTAATTGTTTTTTTTTGTTTTTTTTTTTTTGTTTTTTGGAATTTGCAACGAGAAGACAACGGCTAGTGCAGCTTGCGGCTTGCCACATCAAGCGTGGCCTGAAGTTCGAAAAAAGTGCAATTAAGTAATGTGCAATGTGTGAATATTTCAATTCGATTTTGCTGATGCGCGTATTTACAAATCCACGCTTGAGTTTAGTTTGTTTGGCAAATACATACAGACATAAATACAATTGATGAGAGTGTGAATGGCATTTAATTAATAAAATTCTCACTAGAAAGTATTTGAGGAAAATTTTGTGTGAATTCGTGGAGCCTTTGAATGACTCGAAGGTTATTGATTACACTTTCAAAAAAATTCTGCAAAAAAATTAAGGGCGTCAAGTTTACTGCCGTTACAAGCGTCATAAGAATTGAAAATTTAAAATTTTTAAAAATTTTTTCTTATTAAAGCATCTTTTTTATCCATTTAATTTAAAATAAAAAATTAGTCTTTTTAGAAATTTTTTTATTAGAAAATATGTTTTTTTTTACTAAAGTGTTTAGCCTTCCCCATCGCCCGCCAGCATTTACACGACCCAAAGTGGATAATCGACTACTGAACTGCGCGTTAAATTTATTCCGCTTCGGTGTGGTTGTACATTTTGGGGATTTTGGTAATTTCATTTTTATAATTTTCAATATTATATTTAGTCTAATAAAAAGTAATCCATTATTTTTGCAATCGAAGGATAAGCTAAATTCTACAATTTCACTTCGCTAAAGACGTCAGCGCAAGGAAGAAGTGAAAATGTGTATAGAGCTTATGGTGTTGATACTGTGACAATCAATCATGCACAATTTTTGGTCTCGTCAATGTCGCTCTTCACGGCCAACTGCCGAAAATGTCAGTGAAGTAATGGAAATCGTAGAGTCTGCACGTCATGCGAGCACTGTTTCCATTGCACAGGTGATGAATTTAGGTGGTGTATGGGTGCCACATGATATAACGAGATAGATCCTCTAGGACCGAATTTCTATCGATTAATCGCTGCTGAAAAGGTTAGTTACTGGTGATGAAGAGTAGATCACTTACAGTAGCCAACACAAATGGTCTATAAAGCAGGATAGACGTCCAAGAAATTTTGTTGTATGTTTAATGGAAATGCAAGGAATCATCCACTAATAGTCGCTCCGCTATGGCCAAACAAATTATGGCCTCTTCTATCTGCAGTTGGATTGACTGTAAGAAGAAATCTCACAAAAGTGCCCAGCTTTAGACAACACAAGTGGAAGTGTGTTTGATCTGCGCAAACCCAGACCACACACATCGATAGTGGCTTTAGTGTCTCGCCAGAAGTGTCGAGTGCTAAGTTGGAAGTCTCTAATGCATCCACCTTATAGTCTGGCACTCGCACTAAGTGCTTACCCTCTCTTTCTGTCTATGGTGAATGATTTGGCTGGGGATGGGTTGGCTTCAAGAGTAGCCTGTTAAAATTGATTCTGCCAATTTTTGGCTAATATAGGATTTCTATAAGAGAGACATAATGACATTAACTCCATAACGGCAAAATTTTATCGACCGAAACTGTGCATATTTCACATATTCGTAAATCGCCGCTATGTATGGTATCCGCGCAAAGCTTATATGGCAATGTAAGCTGATCGTGAAGGACCTCTCCGAGCCATTCGATACCTAACAAGATTCCAGACAGGGTGATGTCTTATCTTGTGACTTCTTTGATTTATTCCGGGAAAAAGCTGCAGTGCTTAATAGAGAAGGTATGGGTCTGGTAGTGAACGAGGGCACGATATATATATATATATCCCGGCATCTATTTAGGAACCAGTATTAACAACAACAACAATGATAGCCTGGAAAATCAAGGCAGAATCACTCAAGCCAACAGGTGCTACTTTGGACTGAGTAGACATCAGAAAAGTTAGACACACGAAGTACGAACGAAGTCCAAACACTAATAGTCGCTCACCGTACTCGTCCTGCTATGACATGGTCACGAATCTTGTAAACTCGCAATAATAGTCGATTTTAAAGGCAATTAAAAGTATGACAATGAAACATAACCAAGCTCAATAAATTTTTGCCTGGTCATCAAGGTCATCAAAGTTGTATAAGGTAACGCCAGACCTTAATGAAACACTACACTTTTTCTGTTGATCAATTCCGAAGGTTTTTTTTTTTTTGAAGAGCTTATTTCAATAATGGTTAATAGAGGAAAGAGGTAGCCGAGTGGTTAGCATTGCCTACTGACATTCGGAAGGCTCGGGTTCATATCTCGATGCCCCCAACAGTCAAAAGCTATGAAAAATTAATTTAAAAAAATATTGAGTTAAATTTTCTTATTGCGGTCGCCCCTCGTCAGGGAAGTGTATTTCGGATATGAAATAAAGGCTCCTCGTAAAAAAAACCCCTTAAGCCGTTCGGAGACGGTTTAGTATAAAATATAAGTTGGAAAAACATCAAGACGCAAAACCACGAATACCGGATTGGATATCAGCCCAACATAAGCCGAAATGGTACTCTTTACCAATATAGTGGTTTCATCCTTTAAATCTCCCTCGATATCGCTTCACTAATCTTGCTTCTTAAGCTCATCAAGCGTAAACCGCACTAAATATCTCAGCGTTGCTATTAAAGACCTTTCCTTTTATTTTTTTTTATTTTTTGAAAATAACCAGAAATCACCAGGTGCTATCTCAGGGGAATATGGTGTTGGAAGTGTTTCTTCGATACCATAGATCGCAATAAAAAGTGACAAAAGAAAAAGACAAGTTCTTATGAGGCTTCCGGTTAGAAAATCGGACCGCTCGGAGGCGGTTTAGAACAAATTGTACGTGCTCTCATTTGTTGAAAAACCGTTAAAACGCACACCGGGAATCGGAGAAGGTGCTCGAACGTGAACGCCTCACCAGTTATAAAGCGCCAATTGTTATTATACAGTCGGTTTCCAAGTAATAATAAAGTCTTCAAGCCAACACAAGTACACAACCTGTTACTGCCCACAACAAAGTTCCGAAATATACTAACAGCATCCACAAAAGTTGTGCCAACCTTCAAGGCAATCTCCCATCAACATTGTAGCGAAACAAACGCCGAAGGATTTCAAACATGCTGCTCCTGTGAGAGCAACACTCTGAGAACAAGGCACCTCACGCACTCGAGCAGAATTTGCGCAGTAACACAAAAACCAGTTGAGAAATAGAAACGAACGCTCAGCGTTGAGGTGAATTTCAATGCACGACAGACTGTGGAACAAAGTGTAGACGCAAACCACACAAAAGTAACAGCGACAAAAGCAAAGGCAACAGAAATTTTTCCAACTGTTGGACGCGCGCATTTCGAACCAGCCAAATAGCCGGCAAAACAACAATTGCCCAGCGAGTGAAGTTGTGTTTAGTTCGAAGGCAACACAAGCCAAACAGAAAAACGATGAATGAAAACAAAAATAACAAACACATGCACGGTGGTGGACTTCGGCTACGCTGCCCCAGCATCAGCGCAACGCATACAGCGTGGTTGAAACGAAGCGATGAAGCGACGCGTCGGCAAATACTTACGCTTGGAAAATTCAAACATTGAGGGAAGTGTGTTTGCTAGTAAGCGCGCCGCAGCTGCAGCTGCAGTCACAGTCAACGAATCTCGTTGCTTCTGCGACGCCGTAATATGCGGATGATGACTCGGCTGCTTACGGCTGCTGGCTGGCTGACTTCTTTGCTTGGTCTACACACATATGCTGCGTCTGCTTGCTGGTGCGCTGATTTTCAATTTTAGTATTTTAGTTGACTGTGAACAGGCAGCTTGAATCGACGCAACGTCGCGTATAGTAAGCTCTCAGCAAACGGCTCCGAACCCACATTGTGAACCGTACGAAAAACGGTAGATGACGCCAATTTGAGGCGAATGCAAGGGAACTACGTGCGCGAAAGCCCAATACGAAATTGCAATTCCATTCGAAGCGAAAACGAGTGCCGAGCAACACACATTAACGCGCCGGTGTATACCGTCAGTCGGTATTGTGCGATCGTTTCTTTAACTTTATCGTGAATGCACCGTGCACAGTTGAACCTGACCTGAGCTGTGCTGCGCTGTGCTGACTGCTGACACACGGCCAACGGTTGGAAAAGTGCAAGTCGCGTGCGCAATTGAGCGCTGGAAAAAAATCTGAAATCTGAATTAGAAAAAGAAAAAGAAAACTAAATAAGAAATTGTGTAAGAAACAAACGAAGCAAGTGCGATTTGTGTGGAAAACGAAACGAAAGTGAGTGAAGGCGATTGATTGATTGAGTGTCGAAAAGTGAATTATGAAATTTTACGAGTTATCAAGGTGAAAATTTGCGATTTGTGTGAAGTGAGGCTTAGAACAGAGAAAGAGGATTTCAAAAAAAAAAAATTATAAATAAAAAAATAATAATTTTAAAGGTCGCCACTGCAGGCAGCGCTTAGAATTCTAACGTTGTGAAAATTCTCGTACATTTTTGTTGCGCGCGAAACAAGAAAACCGCAACGAATATTTGAGTGATATGCATAATTGAGTTTGATGAGAATTAGAATTTTTTGTACAGAACGAAAGGGAAATTAAAGCAAGAATTTTTGTGAGAAATAGAAATTTTTTCTGCACTACCAAAAAATTAAAAAATTAAAAAAAAATTTAATTACTCAAAAAGGCAGTGAAATATTCATGAATATTTGAAAATACAATACAATTTTCATGCTTAAAAGTGAAAAAATTAAAAGTGTATGGAAAAACTGAAGAAAAAGTGTATTTGTAGTAAGAGCAAAAAAACACTCAGCCTTTGGATGCGAACATAATTAACCAAAATTTATTACAAAAATTTGCTTTATAAAGCATTCAAAGAGTGCTGTATTGACCTTTAAAGTGTAAAAGAAAATTAAAAAAATTTTTTCATTGAATTTTTTAACACAAAAACCGATCAATGTTAGCGAGTGAAGCGTAAACCGAAACTTCGAACCATAAATACCTTAAGCCCCGAAAATAAACTACAAAGGCTTACCCTCCCCAGCTGGAAGGAACAGCACTTGAGCCAACAATAAACAAAAATAAACGCAAACCCTTAAGAAATTGACTAAACCAAACGACGTCTCCACACAACAAATCACAATAATAGCAAAAGAATAGCTATTAATTGCAAGCTTAACTAACGGTTAAGCGCAACTAAGCAACGATTTATTCAACGCATTAGTCAAACTCCCCTCTCTACGTAGTCCACTGCAACAACTACTAACCAATATGAAACTCCTACCACTACTCCTCATTCCACTCACCCTACTCTGCCCACCCTGTCGCGCCATACCCAATGATGTTTATATGAAAATGTTAGCCGCCCAAGCGCCAACCGATCCTTGCTACGATGACGATAAGGCGCGCAAGTGTATACCCGATTTTGTGAATGCCGCTTTCGGTGCGCCCGTACAGGCCTCAAGCACTTGTGGTCTCGAGCAGCCGCAACGTTACTGCGAGCTAAGCGGTTTGGGTGGTGGTGGTGGCGGTGTTACGCAAAGCGAACCGCACGATATGACTTGTCACATTTGCGATTACTCGAATCCAGCACGTCGTTTTCCCGAATCAGCACTCACAGATTTGAATAATTCGAATAATGTTACCTGCTGGCGTTCGTCGCCTGTGCCACCGGTTACGAGCATGAATGCACCACCGGATAATGTCTCGCTAACACTCTCGCTGGGTAAGAAGTATGAGTTGACGTATGTCAGTTTGCAATTGTGTCCGAAATCGCTAAAACCCGATTCGATTGCGATCTATAAGAGTTCGGATTATGGCAAAACTTGGCAACCCTTCCAATTCTATAGTTCACAATGTCGTCGCGTCTATGGACGTCCCAATCGTGCAACGATCACTAAACATAACGAACATGAAGCACGCTGCACCGACTCACATCGTCAGGTGGGTGATGTAACCGGTTTACAGGGTTCGCGCATTGCATTTAGCACACTCGAAGGTCGTCCCTCGGCACGTGACTTGGACTCGTCGCAAGTGTTGCAGGATTGGGTTACCGCTACGGATATAAAGGTGGTCTTTCATCGCCTACAAATGCCCGAACCGAATGCTTTGAATGTTTTGGAGACCAGTGGCGCTGATATCAAGCCCAATGGCAAGTACAGCGAGTCCGCTAGCAATTCAGTGTTGATACAACAATATGGAATGAATGCAATTGAACAGGCGGCGGATGGTGTTGGCGTACCAGCGTCGGCTGTGCAAATCTCGAGTGGTGCTTCGGTACTCGGCGGTGCAGCCAGTTTGGGTCAACATTATGCTGTCTCCGATTTCCTCGTCGGTGGACGCTGCAAGTGTAATGGACATGCATCGAAGTGCTCACCGGATCATAACGGTGTGCTCGCGTGCGAATGCAAACACAACACGATGGGTCGCGACTGTGAACGCTGTAAGCCTTTCCACTTCGATCGGCCGTGGGGTCGTGCAACGGCACGTGACGCTAACGAATGCAAAAGTGAGTAGCGCAAAGGGGAAACCCAAAAAAATAAAAACAAAAAAACCAAAAATTATAATAATTCATATTTATGTTTAGTGTTTATTATTATTATCATTTTTATTGTGGTGTTATTATCATTTTGCGGTTGTTGTTTTTATTTTGCTTTAAATTACAGTTTTGACTTATTGATGACGGTATTCGAAGGCGTCGATCTGACAACTTAATTAATGTTTTATGCTAATTTATATTTATCAAGCATTTTGGGGTGTCTGAGGGTTAAAAACAAATACTCATTTAAATTCATATGCATGTATATATAATATATATACATATGTATATGTAAATATGTGTATTTTCCTTAGTTAACATGCATAACTAATAGGTTTGCCTCATCCACTTACAACACTCAGAGTATGTGTTTATTGAACGGAAGCTTGATTTTGGGCATGAAAAAGTCATAAATGCCATAAAAGCTTTCGCTTTCAGCAATCAACTTTGGATTCCAAAACAAAATATTTACTTCTCATCATGTTCTATAAATGGTGAGGCGCTATTAAATAAATTCCTGTGACTTGTTTATGTTTGTAAACATGTGATTTAGGTACCAAGTTTGGTTTCAATGAAGGAAAGAAAATGAAATGAAATGCCAAAGAAGCAAAATATCTGTTTTTTATTAATTTTTGACGTCATAAATTTTTGAACATGCAGATGGAATTGAAAAGTTAGAATGACTTAATTGAAATAAAAGCATTCGTATGAAATACTTCCCATTGATGATTTAAATTTATTTTGGACAATTTAAAAATTTTTTATTTATATAAAATCTACGTTAATTAAATTTTTTTAAATTCAAATTTACAGAATTGAATCAACTATTTATTTCACTATTTATTAAATACTTACCATTGAGGACTTAAATTTATTTTAGACATTTTAGAATATTTTCTCTTTAAAAATAACCTTTAAGTTAATTAAATTTTTTAATTTAGAATTTATGGCATTAAATTATTTAATTAAAAACCTTTTATTTCACTAAGTATAATCCTAAGTATAATCCTAAATTAATTAAATTTTTGTTATTTAAATTTGATAGCATTGAATTAAGTATTTAAAAATTTTTTTTCACCTCATTTTATTTCATCTCATATTTTTTTCTTTGTTTTATTAAAATTTTATTTTTTTTTATTTAATTTTTATTTTATTTTATTTAATAGTTCCTTTTTTAATTTCACTGTTTTATTTTATATATTTTTAGCGTGGTTTTATTTCTTGTTATGTTCTTTTAAATCTTACTAATATTGTTTTTTTTTTTGTAAATTATTAATTTTTTTCTGATATTTTGAAATTATTTAATTTTTCTTCATATATTTTTTTTTATTTAATTTTAATATCTTTCATAATTTTATTTGCAGTTTATATATTTGGATTTTTTTTTAGTATTTACTTTTTTCAATTTATTTATTGTTTATTGTTTTCTTCTACTTCATAAATATTTTGTTAAATTAAATTATCTTTTTTTTCCTTATTTCACGGTATTTTATCTTAATTTTTTTTATTTTCATTTTAATTTGTTTGATTTTGGGTTGTTTTATTTCTTTTTATTTTATTTGATTTTGTTTTTTATTCATTTATTTTAATATATTATATTTTCCCTCTTATTTTTCCATAAATTTTTTAGCATTATTTATTTATGTTATTTTATATTAATGTTTGAAACTTAATCTTAGTTTATTTATTTAATTTTATTTTATTGAATTAAATTTTATTAAGTTTTTGTTATATTTAACTTCATATTATTTTATTTTATTTCTGTTAATTCACTTAAATTTATTTCTTTTTCCTATAGTTTTTATATGTTTTCAATAAAAGTTTTCATTTTTTTGGTTATTTAATTTAATTTTTTGTTTATTGTTTTTTTATTTTATTAATTAACCTTTTTTATTTGATTTTTACACTATTTTAACTTTTTTTGGTTTTTTTGTTTTATTTAAATTATTTAAAATTAATATTTATATTTTTAATTACTTTTTTGCTTTTTAATTTATCTTATAACTATATCCTTTTATTAATGTATACGTTTGCTTATTTTTTATTTTATTTATCTTGCTCTTAATTTTTTATCTTTTTTTATTTTATTAATTTATCTTGATATATTTTATTTTTTATTTTATTTTTCCCTCTCTTTTATAATTTAATTTTATGTCATTATTTTTTATTTTATTCAATTAAATTATGTATCTTATATTTTATGTATTATATTTAATTTTTTCACTCTATTTTCTTTTATTTGCGTTTATTTACACCCTTTGCTGCTTTATTTTATTTTAATATATTTTTTTTAACATTTTGTTATAGTATTTTCTATTGAATTTTAATTTGTTCTTTTCAATTTCAGTTTATTCTGAACACGACGCGAAATAAAACTAGTAGATCCTCCTCTTAGAAAAACCACACCAATTAATGCATTTACCCAATAATATTATTAATTTTTTTTTTGATTAGATTTTTTCTGTTGAATATTATTTTATTTTTTCTATTTTTAAATTGTATTTTATTTTAATTATTATATTAAAGTTATTTTATGTTATTTTTTCATTTTATTTTATTCATTTAATGTTATTTTTTATTTGTTTTATATTCTTTTATTTTATTAAATTTTATATAATTTCACTTAATCTTTTCTTATTTTATTGTATTTTATTTTTATTATTTTCTGTGTTCGATATTATTATTTAATGTTTGATTTTGTTTTATATTTTTCGCTTTATTTTATATAATTTTGTTTGTTTTTAATTTATTCAATTCAATTTATTTTTTTTTTAGTTATCATATATTATATTGTTTTATTTTATTTATATACTTTTTTTTGTTTTTTGTTTGTTTTTAATTTATTTCATTTGAGATTATTTTTTTCTTTCAGTTCATTTTATTTATTTTTTGTTTCGTTTATTTCATTTTATTTTTTTTTTAATATTTGATTTTAGTTTATTTAAGTTATTTTATTTTATTTAAGGTCATTTTTCTATTTTATTTAATTTTAATCAATTTCGTTTTGTTTTATTTTTTTTTCGTTGTTTGATTTATATCTTTCAAGGTTATTTAATAAATTGATCAATACGCCATTTTATGACTTAAAAAAAAAGATTGCTTCGAAACCGCTTTTGCTTTAATAAAGCAGAACCTTGGTGCTTCATATGGTTGACACGGTTAGCCTTGCAGTAGTTCCTTAAGCTCTATCTCTCGTTTTGCGGCTCTTTACGTCTGTATTGGCGACTTCATGAGTGATCAGTCGTCTCTGGATGGTTCACGTTGCGCTTATCTTTGGGAGCTCCCTACAAAATATAGATCAAGGGAGTGATATTGGGCAGTTAACATTGCTGTTTCAGCTATTTGACGTTGTCGACAGATCTTCCTTCGTTTTCAAAGATATGCAGACCACTGGGAATACATTAATATTTCCATAATTAATTTTGGGTTTTCTGAACACCATAAACGGCAGTTTCGCCAAAGTGAAAATGAGTTTCATAGGAAAAAATTATTTTTCGATAAATAAAAGTTCAACTTCCGCCAAGCGCTATTTATTGGGTAGAGGCTTTGGATGCTGCTCTTCCTGGACTATTGTAGTTCAAAAAGTCCTCTTGCTCATAGAATTTGATAACAACTATCCAATTGGTGTTCAGGTGAGCAGGCTACAAGTCTTGAATAATTTTTTTATTGAACTCTCCGCAAGATGTCGACATTCATTTCGGCATAGTGCCGAAGTTTACTTTTATACACACACATACATACATATTCAATTTGCACTAAATACCTACTTAACCTTTTTAAATAGCATTTCGACCATGCCACTTGCAACACACGCAACCCTTCTTTGAAGCGCCGGATTCATTGAAGGGGATTTTCCTGCCCCTTGGCTTTAACTTATGTTTACAAACAATACAAATGCGTAATAAGGCATTGAGTTGCGCTTTTTCAACACATTTCAAGCTTACTACATACGTATAAATGTACTTACAACTCAAAGCCTTGCGCACATGCCACACTGACGCTGTGGCACGTTTTAATCATGTTTATGCATTGGATTAGGCTTATCCGTCATTGGGTAACATTGAACACGTGTGCGACGAGAGTGGGTGCGTTTGGGTGTGAGTGTGTGGCATGCAACATGAGGCTGCAGTGAAATTGAAGAAAAAGCTGATGAAAGTCTATACATACTTAATAGCGTGTGGTTGAACTGTTGAATGGCAGGCAGCCTGAAGAACTAAAGCTTTCTGTGTCTCTAAGGCTCCGGAATGGCCGCTCAACCGCCCTCACTTTCTTCTAATCCCTTGAGTGTGCGTTGCGATTATTAAATTCCATATCGACAGTCAGCAAAGGTAATCATTCATGATGGATTTACCTATTTGTATAAGTAATCAACAGCGAGTGGGGTGGGTTGATTGGAGCTAAAAGTTGAGAGAAGGCTTTAAAGTGTTTTTAATCAATTTCGGCAGCAGATGCAGCAACGCATCGCAGCTCAGTGTAGAGTATTGTTGCTAATATGCAAATATTTTTTAAAATTTACAATCTCACTGGCTTTTGAGCCGCTCGTCTTTGGACCATTGCAAGCGCTCGAGGCATTTCTTCAAAGCTCTTTGGCAAACTCAAGCCACTGTGTGGCTGCTGCGCTCACTGCTTTTGACACATTTCACATCTGTGTATGTGTGAGTGTGTGTGATGTGCGTGTAAATGACGTTTAATTAAATCAGTTGCTTATTTGTTTGTCTGAGGATTTGCAATTTCGACTAATGAGTTGTGCGTTGGCCTTGATATGCAGTCAGGGGATAAGCAGGCTGACTGGCTGGCAGGCAGGCGGTCAGGAAGCTGGCATACTCGTACATATGTTACATAAAATTAAATCACTATGCGCTATTGTAATTTGAGCGTCAAAAGATTTCTATGATATGATGTGATTTTACGACTCATTTTACGATTGATTTTATGAGAACCAGTTGAAGTCGGTCGTAAAATCTTGACAT